TCCACACCTCCCCCCAGAAGTAGGAAAATATACCTATTTTTTTTCCCAATCTGTCACTTAGATAATTGAATATTCGATCTTCTTTTTTTCCCGATTAACGAGCGCGCGATGGTATTAACGAGAAGCTGAAGCTTTGGAGACTCACTCGTATAAAGTTTCAAGTTGAACATGACCAAGATAGAATACTTGAAATAGAAGTTAGTAACGTTACCCGGAAAGTGGATATAGTTGTGAGGCTTGATACACAAGTCCTCCCCCTGAGAGGGAGTTTCAAGTATCTTGGGTATGTAATACAAGGTGATGAGGAGATCGATGAGGATGTCACACATCGTATTGGAACAGAGTGGATGAAGCGGAGACTCGCTTCCAGTGTCGTGTATGATAAGAATGTGTCATTGAAACTTAAATGTAAGTTCTACAAAATAGTGGTTTGGCGGACTATATTGTATGGGGTAGTGTGTTGGCCAGTCAAGAACTCTCATATTCAAAAGATGAAAGTAGCTGAAAAGAGGATGTTGAGATGAATATGTGCACATTATAGGTTGGATAAGGTTAGGAATGGAATTATTCGGTATAAGGTCAGAGTGGCCTCATGGAGAATAAGATGTAGGAGGCGAGGCTGAGATGGCTCGGGCATGTTCAGAGGAGAAGCACATATTCATCAGTTAGGAGGTATGAGAGGTTGGCTTTGATGAGTATGAGAGGGGATAAAGATAAGCCAAAAAAAGTCTTGAGATATGTGATTAGGCGGGACATGGTGCATCTAGAGCTTACTGAGGACATAACCCTTGATAGGAGGGTGTGGAGATCGACGAGTATGATAGAAGATTAGTATGTAGTCGAGCATTTTCCTTTGTCTTCCTTAGTTCGATAACTTTAGTGTTAGTATGATATCGTTTTATTCTTAGATTTCTATTACTACCTATCATCTAATGGTTATCTTGGGTTCGGTTTTCTTAATATCTTATGTTGTTACTATTTGTTGCCACTACTTTTTCAATCTTTGCTATAGCTGATGGTCTATCGAAAATAATCGTTTTGCTTTCCCAGAATAGGAGTAAGGTTGCATACATATTAAATTCTACACTCTCCAAACCTCACTTATGATAATTTACTAAATTTATTATTGTTGTTGTTGTCATTTTTTCTTTTCCTTTTCAAATCGTTGCATTAGATGAAGAGCAGACTTGACGTAATTAGTAAAACTATCGTGAGAGACTTTCAACTAAAAGTAAATTAACAAAATTTCACATATAAAAAATTAAAACCAATATCTTTCACCCTTATATAGAAGTCAAATTTATTCAACTTCACAAAAATTCAACAAAGAATCACAATCTCAATTAGATCCCAATTAAATTATCCGCATAACGTTTTTCCATATGTGGGTCCCACTTAACATGTCATGCCAACCCTTTCAATTATGTGGGGCCCATCAACCATTGACCTCAAAAATAATTCAATCAAACAATTCAACAAAACCAAAACCTCAAAATTTCTCAAACCCAAGAATTTGCTTAGAATTTCCGATGGCGAAAAAAGCAGTATTAATCGGAATTAACTACCCAGGAACTAAAGCAGAACTCAAAGGCTGTATCAACGATGTTAAGCGAATGTACAGTTGTTTAATCAACCGTTTCGGATTTTCTGAGGAAGATATTACTGTATTAATTGATACTGATGATTCTTACACACAACCAACTGGTCGAAATATACGTAAAGCTTTGTCGGATCTAGTAGGATCTGCTGAAGAAGGTGATTCTTTGTTTGTTCATTACAGTGGACATGGGACTAGACTTCCAGCTGAAACTGGTGAAGAAGATGATACTGGTTATGATGAGTGTATTGTCCCTTGTGATATGAATCTTATTACAGGTATTTTACTTACTATTTTTTGGATTTGAATCATGGGTTTGCTCCAAATTTTGATTTTTTTGTGTTTGTATAATTTGTGGAAATTGAAAGCTTGATTGGGGTTTGAGGTGCGTGGGTGGGTTTGGGGGTGGGGGGAGATCTTGAGAAGGGGAGATTTGGTTTTGTTACTTTGTACTGAAATTTGCTGATGTGTGTCAGTGTGTGAGCAGAAGAGGATCAACCCTTAAAATTCTTAGCAGTGTGTAGTTCTGAAATTATGGATTCGTAACTTAATATTTGTTAAAATTTTGTGATTTTTCGCACACACACAGGAGTTTGAGATCTTGAAATGGGTGGATTTGATCTGTTTCTGGTGACAATTCAGGTGGATCTGAGTTTCAGAGAAATTTGAGAAATTGGGAAATGGAACTTTATAAATGAGAAAAATTGGGGCTCAGGTGTTAGAAATTGTTGAATGGGGATGAGAAAAAGTTGGCAAAAAAAATGGAATAAAGTTGGTGTTTAGAGGGATTGGTAGTATAATACGTTTAGATGTAGTATATTTATGTAACAACCCCGCCCACTAGTAATATTATCCGCTTTGAACCTAGTCCCGCCCCTCTTTAAAACGTGTCACTAGAGTCTAAGGCTTGTCTCGCTTTGAACCTAGTCCCGCCCCTCTTTAAAACGTGTCACTAGAGTCTAAGGCTTGTCTACTTATATATCCAGCATCTCTTCCGTGTTTTATCGATGTGAGATTCGCCTAGGGTGTCACATACAACCCCTTAGGGACTCAGCGTCCTCGCTAATGTTTGCCCCACCACCGTTCAAGGTTGTACGCGAAGTGGCTCTGATACCATACATATGTAACAGCCCAGCCCACTCCGCAACTTCACCGAGGACGCTGGGGGGTGTATGTGACACATTAGGCGAATCCCATATCAACAACACGGGAGAGATACTGGGTATATAAGTAGACATGCCTTAGACTCTAATGACGTGTTTTAACGCCGTGCGAACCTAGGCCCAAAGCGGACAATATCACTAGTGGGCGGGGCTTTTACACTTTACCACTGACTTGAAGAGAAAAATAGTGTAGCTTTTTTCCACAAATTTACGGAAAGTGCAGGAATATCCAGGGAACTTCCCCACTAGTTTGTCTGTTTATGATTTGTGGAGTAGGAATATTGGAATTAAGATATGCAAATGGTTCAATTGATCTGATATTGCCAACAATTTAGGTGGATCTGGATTTGAGGANTAATTTAGGTGGATCTGGATTTGAGGAAAAAATTCAAACTTGAGAAGGTGAATACTAGAAATAGAATTTTGGGTCCAGAGTGCTCAAAATTGTTGTATAAGGAATGAGTAAAACCGAAAAAGAGGGAATAAAGTTGGGGACAGTGAAGGAAAATCCACTGGTCAGTCAAACATTTACAAGAAAGTCATTTTCCTTCCCTTTTTTTTCCGTGGAAACACACACTTTTACAACTTGTTCTATTCTATTGGAAACTGAAATCGTTCTTTACTCGCTACAAGTACTTCACTCTAGCTTTCTACCTTCTTTAAAACCATATGCTTCTCGGGAGAGGGAAGGTTGTGCCTAATATCACCCCAATTGCTGCTAATGTGGCTATTGAGCTTCTTATTTCCTTGGAAAGCTCCTACTAAGATGGGAAGTTGCTCGATAAAGCTACAAGTAGCAAAATAGAACGTAAAGAAAAACTCCTTTTATGATTGGTTGAGATTAGCAAGGAATATCTGCAAATAATTTTAAGGCTTAAGTGGATGAGCTTTCTTTGTTTTAAAAATCTTTTTCTCCTTTCATTAGTTTGCTTAATTTTCTATTCCCTCCCCCCAAAAAAAACCCCAACTAAGATCTTTAACTATCCCTTCGGGTAGGGGTAAGGTCTGCATACATTCTACTCTCCCGAGACCTTCTTGTTGTTGTAAGATCCCTAACTATGTTACTTGCTGTTGTTGAAAAGAATGCCTTAGATTCCTAACTATGTTACTTCTTGTTGTTGAAAAGAACGCCTTACTCGTTAACAAGTTGGAAAAAAGTTAACGCTTTTAGGGATTATGAAGATGAGAAGGATTTGAGGTCTAATCTTATAGAAATTCGTTTAGAGTCCCATACTTTGTTTTTTCCACCACATTACAGATTTCCATCCTTATTTTCCTTTTTAGGAATATTTAAAAAGCTATCCATGTTTTCTTTGCCAAGCCTATTTCCTTATAGGATGTCTTATCGTTATCGCTTGATGTCAATTTTGGTTGCTTTTGTTTTACTTTGTACTTTAGAGCCTTCAGATCTGGTGTTGGAAAATGTAGTTAGTTTCGTTGGCAGACACATAAGAAACAATAGACATTATTGTGGTTAATATTATTGGAAAAATAACACGCTATTGATCAACTGTTGGATTTGGTGTTTCATCCGTGATCAGATGATGATTTTAGAGAGCTTGTGGACAAAGTTCCTGAAGGTTGCCGGATCACAATTGTATCCGACTCATGCCACAGCGGCGGCCTCATTGACAAAGCTAAAGAGCAGATAGGGGAGAGCCACAAGCAAGGCGACGATGAAAACGAAGGCCATGGATCTGGTTTTGGATTCAAGAAGTTCTTACGTCGAAGTGTTGAAGACGCATTTGAATCCCGGGGTATCCAATTTCCACACCGCCACGACCGACGCGGGGAAGAAGAGGAGAGTTTTGTCGAGAGTAGCGTGATTGAGACGGAAGATGGGGATCAAGTCCATGTGAAGAACAAATCGTTGCCTCTTTCCACCCTCATTGAAATACTTAAGCAGAAAACAGGCAAAGATGACATTGATGTCGGGAAACTTAGGCCAACGCTTTTTGATGTCTTTGGAGAAGATGCAAGTCCTAAGGTGAAGAAATTCATGAAGGTCATTTTCAACAAACTACAGCACGGTAACGGGGAGGGTGAAAGTGGTGGTTTCTTGGGTATGGTTGGTAACTTGGCTCAAGAATTTCTGAAACAGAAACTTGACGAAAATGATGAGAGCTATGCAAAACCTGCAATGGAAACACACGTTGAAGGCAAGCAAGAGGTTTATGCCGGTTCAGCAAGTAGAGGTCTTCCAGACAGTGGCATTCTCGTCAGTGGGTGCCAAACGGACCAAACATCTGCAGATGCTACCCCTGCAGGCGGAGACTCTTATGGTGCTCTAAGCAACGTGATTCAGGAAATCCTGGCCGAATCAGATGGTCCAATCACCAATGAGGAAGTTGTTAGCAAGGCTAGAAAGAAGCTGCAGAAACAAGGCTACACACAACGCCCAGGCCTTTACTGCAGTGATCATCACGTTGATGCTCCTTTTGTGTGCTAATTCTGCAGTACGTTTTCAGGTTGCTGTCGAAACACAAGTCTGGTGTTAATCAGTGTTATAAAACAATATATCCCTTTTGTATCTGTGGTTTATTTGTGCTAATGTTGCAGTAACTCTTCATATTTGATCTTATGAGGTATTATAGAACGGTCTCTATCATTTGGATGTGTGGTTATTTGGCCTTTTTTTATTTTTTTATTTTTAAATAGTTTGGCCAGGAAATAAGGTGTAAAAGATCCGCGGTTTGTATTGTTGGGAAACTCTTTTAACTCTGGAGATTATTTGTATACTGAATGTGGTATAATTTAAGCATACCTGAATTGCTTCAACTAAAAGTACGTTTTCATTCAAGTCTTTAGAAACAAGCCTGTTCTGATATATATTGAAGTTAAAACTGAAAATTAGATGAAGTTGAATTGAATAGCGTTTGGGTAGTTATACTCTTGAAATGCATTTCCATACCAGTCTGAAAAATTCAACAACTACCCAGTATAGTCCCACAGGGTGGGGTCTGGGGAAGGTAATATGTACGCAGGCCTTACCCCACCTATACCAGTCTGAAAAATTATTTGTTCAAATTTTGTTCTCAATTTTATAACAAAATGCTAACTTGCAAACTGAACATCTATATTTGCAAGTGAAATCCATAATCAAACGCCAAATATTGATCGTAGAACAGCTTATATCACACCCAGTAAGGATTTTCCTTGAAATCCTGGATCACCATGGTTAATACAAGCAAAATGTAAACCATCACACACGGTAATACAGTGAGAAGAGAGCATGAAACCAAGCAAAATGGCTATTCCGAGTTACGATGAGACACCAAAAGCAAGAAGCATGATTTTTCTTGCGTCTCTAGGACAAATTCTTAGACGATCCTATGCCCAACACAATATCACAATGCGATGTAAGCAAAGTAACTCATGCTAGAACTAATATGGTTCAAACACTTGTATTTCAATCACACGTTTAATTAATCAACAAAGGATATTCTTCAAACTCTTGTACAAGTTTCAAAAAGCTATATCAATAACTCCAACTGTGTCCATTCCGAAGCTTTATCCACTGGGAAAGGTAGAACTACCAAAGTAAAGCAACAAAACCAGCTAAGCAGTGACCTACTTTTGTTCCTTCTTTGCTTCAGCATCACTTGGCTTTTGGACTGGTTGAATTCTCTGGTAAGGTTTCCTTGTCAGTGTTTCGCCCCTTAAAGCTGCAACATATCTGTCATTCGTGTTCTCCTTTCTCTGCAGTTCACCGAGGTATTCTGCTAACCTCTCTTTATTAACTTGACCCATCATCTGTTAGAAAAACCAAACAATATATCAAGCAGTTTACCAGTCATAAGCAGAATTACTCAAAACTAAACAAGCCAATGAGACCAAATGAAACCATCAGAGCCGAAAGATACAATTTATCTTCTGTGAAGGCGAAGTCAAATAGTCAATTTGGTGCCAGATGATAACATAAACTTGTCACTCCGTTCCCCCAAACTCCCCTTCATAAAACAGTCAAAGTAAATAATGTATCTAACAGGAAAAATCCCCACAAAAGCAATGAGCTGCAAAAAGTATTTGCTATGGACTGATGGAGCAAGGAAAAGACCGAGCAAGGCGGAGAAATAAACATTAAAGCTATTTGTAATTTCTAAACATCCCGCAATTTGTAAAAATAATATTTTAACAGTAACATCCCTTTCCCTTTGGTTCGCCTAGATGGGCAGGTGGCCGATTTGACCAAAGGTGTAAACCAAAGTAATGCACAACTGCTCATGACTCGGGCTTTATTTTCAATAAAGACGAGACGTATATGGGCGTAAGAGAAAGCTACAATTCATCTCACTGTCTATGGACTTCAAGGAGATTATATCATTCAAAAACAAATTAGAGAAAGAAAAAAGGTTGTTGCAATATGAAAAAGATTAGCATTTGGTAACTTTTAGCGATAGCTGTCACCTAAAAGTCATCACAGAAAGAAAAGGTACTGTCAAATAAACAAAATAATTGTGTTTTAACCGTGCTGTTAAAGGCTCACTTCAGGCGCATTTAATCCTAAAAGTTAGGTTATCTAATTAATGGAAATGCATGTGTTGATAGTAAATTTTCTTGCATGTGCCAATTTTTTTTAAAAATATAATATTTCCTCATTTATGCCTTCATTAACTAAATCCATGCTCAATTATACTTTTCAATTAAAGCCTTAGCAGATATCAACGATGTTTTTGCTTTTGAAAATACTAGTTTGAGTATAATAATTTTTATAGGTAAGATGAAGTTTTAGTTTCTAACTGCACCAAGTAGGAGCAAAATATATACAGTGAAAGATTCAGATCATCCCTTAATCTCGAGGAGTCTATGAAGTCCGCAAAAGAATTTCATCACAAGCAAAAGCCACATTACACCAATAGTTTAACTACACGCACGTAGATTTTAAGCAAATATTAGCTGCCTTGCTTAAAGAACTTCGTAGTTCTTTTCTTTTCAAGTTCCAAACTCCAAAAGCATAAGCTGGTATTCTTCTCCATATCTGTCTATTTTCCTTCTTAATTCTCTGTCCTTGCCAACATTCTGGTGCTGCTCTTACTGACCCCGGCATGGTCCATGTCAGTCCAAAATATGTTTAGGGAACAGACATCATACCTTCCAAATATAGATGCAGCCAAATAGTAGGTGCTAGGAGGATTCTAGATTCTCATACGCAAAACACACCTGTTGCGCAAATTAAATTTCCATCTCTACAAGTTATCCTGTGAGTGGTAGGCCTCATATATAACCTACTAAAAACATGATGCACATCCCCTCTGATCTACATAAGGTTTAGTAGTAGGATTTAACAGAGAATGCATCATTTTTATTAAGAGTCCATCTTAGACAGATGTTCCCTACATGTTTCAATTCCTCCATTTTGCATATCAATCTAGAAACGATGTAAAATTTCCAATCATATTCGTTATGAAATTGGTTCCGCATCCATTCGCTCTCCTGCACCTTTCATTGGTTGCATTCGTATCTGTTCCAGTGCAATAGTGTACAGGTTTGCGAAATCCAATCATAAAGGCTCTTCTGCAACCCATTTATCCTACCACAACCTGATTTTTCTGCTGTCCCAAGTATGTTCACTTTATAAGTTGATCCCAGTTGTTCATTAACCTTCTAAGTACAACCCAGTAAGGGTGGTTACTTCTCCAAAAACCCTTCATTCCATATTTAATTTTGATAGCCTCCTCCCAGAAATAGCCTTGATCATTCTTAAACCACCATAGTCATTTAAACAGGAAGCTCTTATTTCATACACATCAGATTAAATTGAATCCTTTCTCGACATCCCTTTGTAGACGTCTTCACAACATGAAATTGACTATAGTGAAAGTGCTAATGCTATTATTTATTTCTGCAATTCAATAAAACAAAAGGATAGATCTTCACCAGGTGAAGTTAAAAAGAACTACCTTTTCAATTGGCCAAGAAGTCAATCATGCAAAAGCTAACATTAATACCTTATAAGAAGAAATCCGACGGATAAAATCTAATAAAGTTAGGGCTCAATGAAATTTATGTTTTTCATGCTACAAAAACTCCCTTGCCCAATTCATTCAACATTATTTCATTTGAAACATTTAAAAATTGCTTTATAGCTAATAATAACTTTTTGTACGATGGTGGAGTCCGGGCAACTATTCCACCAGGCACCAAGGCAATATTTCCGAAACGATCATAATGGCAGAAGGTACAATACATATGAAGCACGCATCAGGTATTAACACTATCAATAAGCGAAGAGGAAGAATATTTCCGTACAAACATAACAGCAGACGGTACAACACATATGAAGCACAAAACTGATCTTGCAAGTATTATTTAACACTACTATTTTATTAATATTATTATTAATAGGCGAAAAAGAGGAAGACTAACAAGGGTATCAGGGCGAGCGTTTTGACGGAGCTTAGCTTCAAGTTCAGGACTACGAGAATTAGTCGCCGACATTACGCAGAAACCAATAATGCCCGGAACGACGCCGCAAACGGTGGCGAATCCGATGAAAAACGGCTTTGAATCCCTCGTTTGCCTCACTAGCCACCTCCATGTCCCGCTCTTCTCCCACAGAATCGACATCAATGATTTTCTGATTTCTCGCACCCGCTTTCGCTCTCTAAAGCTGCTTTCTTCTGTTTTCTAGAACATTGATTGGGAAAATGGGGAAATGAAATAAAGAATTTTTAAATTATGCTTTTCACCCCCAAAAGTTTGGTTTAAAGACAATTACTAACGCTAAAGTCGTTCAAAATTACGATCTAGAGATTCAAACTTTTGAGAAAAAACAAAAAGGGTCCAAATATTTGGAATTTCATTTAAAAAGATCCCTAATAAAGTATGGCCTAGAAGATATAATATGGTCTTTCAAGTTATTAAATGTGGTGCTATTTGGTCTCACTCAATGGAATCAGTCACTTATTGTTATGTGACTCGAATCTAATCTAAAAAAGTCAGAGGTATTTTGAATTGTTTATTAACACGAATAAAGTCAAGATGAACTGATGAAATATTTTAATATTGAACCTTAAAAATATTCCTATAAGAGTTTTGAAAAATCGAATCTCTTTAGAAAAAAGATCTTTTGTTATCTCATACTAGTCTGATTCAGTTTTTTTTTGGAAAATTTTCCCTATTTATGAGTTAACTTTTATGAAAGAGGTATTTCGATTTTTTTTGAAAAGGTACTCTATTTATTAAACTAGGATCTCATGATATTCACTACTTTATTTGGTTCAAACTTAACTGTTATAATGATATTAAACCAGATAGAGGTCTTAAGTTCTGTTTTAAATTCAAGAGAGATCGCCACCCATTATTAAAGAGAATTTTCAAGTGTTAATTTGGCCAAAAAAAAAGAATCAAGTTCGCACATTAAGGAGGCATAATTAGTGATTTTGCAACATATTCGAGATAGAATGAACTTTTGCAGTCAGATATAAATACTTATCAAAAAATAAAATAAAAGAAAAAACAGTTATTCAATAATGCTTAGGACTTAAATATATTCTTGTTGTGCTTTATAACTATCTGAAAAACAATAATCATCAACAAACAAATGTTCTTTCCTTGTCCTCCTCTTCATCCATTGTATCACTAAGTGTTTTGCCATTTGTTTCTGGTAAACACACAACAAAACTGTTGAAATGTCAAATATGTCTGCCTCCCACATCGGTTGGCTATTGAAAGTTGGGGGGATTTTCCCCCTATAAAAGAAGGCCCAATGTTTAGGATTTAAACACACCTCTCAATTGCCTTCTTATCTATTTAAGGCATTTGTATCTTCTCTCTTTAGTATTATTT